TATCAAAATCACGTTAATTCATCACAATTAAAGAAAAAATGGTTTGAGAGGGAAACGAAAGAGGGTGAGAGTGATGTGATGATTGATAAAAAAAAAATCTCTAAATTTTTTTTAATAGTATGAATTTATTTTTTAGTTTTTTTAACACATACATGCTCCAAAGTAAAAATACCTTTTTTTTTCATTTTCAATATTTTGCTTAAATTTTATAAATATTTTTAAAAATAACTAAAAATGAAGTAATTATCAAAATCATATTAATTCATCACAATTAAAGAAAAAATCGTTTGAGAGGAAAAGGAAAGGGGGTAAGAGTGGTGTGATGGTTGATTAGGAACTTGTGATTATCACCCAAACTCCCACAAAAACACCAGGTTTCACTATTTTTAATCATTTTTCCGTTTTCATTTATCAAAACTTACAAACTAAAAAATAAAAATAAAAAACAGTTTCMTCATCCACGTTAGATTCATTATTTTTTCYTTTTTTGCAGTTTCAGTTTTTCCTTTTTCAATACAATTTTTATTTAAGTTTATGCACACATTAACTTAGTGGTAGCTTATAATATTAGTTTAAGATATATTAATTTCAACAAAAATATAAGTATTGTTTCTAAAAAAAACTGAAAAAAAAAAACTAATTACAAATTTTAAGCTAAGTTTGTCGGTGGACTACTTATTTTAATAATTATTAATAAACTTTAGAAATATTAATCACTTACAAATATATTTTTTATAAATATAAATAACTTTAATATTGGATAAATGTTAAACTATTTTTAGTTAAAGTTTACATAAATATATAATAAAATAAAATTAAGATACCACGTGCAAGGCACGTATTAAAATACTAGTTATAAAAAAACGGACCACAATAAGAAAAATGAAATACACATGCACTTTTGAACTTCAATTACTAAAACAAAAATATGCAAAAACATGCCTCAAATAAATTTCATAAAATTACAGATGATATATTAAAATCTTTCCATATCTCAACAATCAAATATAATATTTTAAATATATATAATAAAATAATTAAAGATACATGTGCGGTAGACAAAATCTCCAATAATATCTCCATGTTTGTTATTTGTTTTAAATTTGAACTGTTCATACAATAAAACAAAATTAATAATAAAACTAAAATTTTTTAAAAATAAACAATAAAATATTTAACAATTACTGAGAAGAATGAAAAGTCAATAAAATGGAAGGGAAGAATGGAAGGAAAAAAAATAAAATGAGAGTGATGGGTGAAGATAGATTGAAGAACCAGAGGAACAAATTATGAGTTATGGGGTGAGTGAGAGGGAGAATGGAGAAATGAGAGTGTTTAATACAAGAAAAGTGAAAGGTGGATGAAAAAATAGGGTGTTTAATAAAAGTTAGGATGAGATGTGAGAGGGAAGTAAAATTGGAAAAAAAAAAGATGAGAGGTCGTGTGTGCAGGGTCGAAAAGGTTTCCTACACCGCTGATGCATGGCACGGATTCCTTTCATTTCCAATGCTAGATGCGTCTCTCTAAGATACGCATCTAGTCTTGTGACGGGCGGAGTAACAGACRTCATAACTCCATCCGTGAGTCCATCCGTCATGGTCGTTCACGCATTCGAATAACTACAGTCTTTGAAAGACACAACCCCTTATTTYTCCAAATAATTTGAAAATCATCCGTTATTTTAATTTTTTTGAAAATAACCTCCAATTTTAAAAAAATCTCGTATAATTGGAAGATTGAAAGAGAGCGAGAGAAGAAAAAAAAGGAGTGGGAGAAAATTAGGGAAAAGGGAAAATTGAGAGAAATTAAAGGAAGATATTTTATTTTTTTAAAATTAAATTCTCTTTAAAATTCTCAGTTCAAAATTCATAATTTCAATTTCAAATTTATTATTTTAGTTTTTGTTATTTCTATATTTTATGCATTTTTAATAACAAATAATAAATACCGCAGAACAAATATCAAATAATAAAATGACACAGACGAAATACGGTATTTACAAGATTGATTACATCCCTATTTCGACGAGTGCAGTTTGAGTTGGAGGTTGTATTAACTTGGGAGTATACCGACAGTAAAAAGATTTAGCACCTAGGTTGTGTCGATTTKGCTTTCAAGGTAATAGTTCCGCCCACGACACACCAAATTTAGCTCCCAGCTCCAATTTTGTCCTTTATTTTCTAACAATATATATAATTGAATTTTGATTGAGATAATATATAGTTAGCTTTTTTTTAATCACAACCCAATAATGTTTCAGAGTTATTTTAGTATTTTATGTTAGTGGGCTTGGGTTGAGATATTTTTTTTTCCCTATATTTGTACATGTATAATGTTGTTGCTATAATTGTAATTAATTGGACTTGTTTTGCCAAATGGCCTAGTGGAGAAAGTATAACCTAATTAATAGGGTTAAGTTTAGGATTGGATCATTTTTCTATAACAAAGACGCTTCATTAAAAACGAACATTAGTCACATGGGCTACCGAATAAGTAGTATCAATGTTTGTTGTACACAAAAGCCAGGTGGGAAGTCAGGAAAACCATAGAAAACTGGCCCTAGTGTTCACCGCTTTGGTAGCCAAACGATGCACCACAGAATTGAATTAGCTTGAGTGAAGTTGAAGGAAACATGAGAAAGTTGGTAAAGCCAAAACCAAGACCCACACGCGAGCCACCGCTGCCGTTCGGCCRACTTGAGCTCAACAATGAGYCGAGTACTTGGAACCCAAGTTCCAAATTCGTTTAGATACTCCAAATCGCTTGAAAACAGATGAATTAATGTCGTAACATAATAACCCACCTCATGACACACACTACTCCACTTCTTTATGTGATAAAGACTTTTGAAAGAAACATTGGTCTATCTTGGATACAATTGTGAAAATGTAGGGAAAAATCGAAATTTGGTAGCATCTCCTTTCACACCCTTTTCGCTCTTTTGCATCAAAATAATGCATGGTCAGTTGTTTCAAGGCATTTGATCCCTATAATCTTTATACCTCGTTTTSGTAAATTTTCTCTATTCTACCTCTGTTTCACTTATCGAAATTTGTGTGATGACTGATATATCGTCTGCATTTATTTACAAACTCTGGAAGCCTTCTATATTTCCAAGTCTCTTGTATTAGTAATACAACATGTTGGRCAGGGGATTCGAACTCACAATCTCTTGGTTGGAGGTATATGTCAATTACCGTTGAGCTACGCTCGCTTTGGCGAAATGTGCTCTCCTTTGACATTCATTTTTGTCTAAGAAAAATTAGATTGTTTCACATTTCCCACCTTCATTCGGAGCCCCTTCATCAGGAGTTCATAAAGCTTATTCTTTGTTTATATTTGTGGTTTTAAGAAATATATTCAATAGTTTTCAATAGTTGATATTATTTCTCCTGCAACTTTGATTTTGCGTCAAAGATACCTTTCATTAAAATTAGTGAGTTATGTGAAATKCTTGTGTTGTTTTTTCTTTTAATTAAAAACTAGTAGGCAGGTGCAACTAAGGTTGAACAAAGAGTAAAAAATACCGTACTTATTCAAGTTTAAAGTTAAATTTGGTTCATGTATTTTTAGTGGAGTAACGATTTAGCTTTTGAATTTTATTTTGTAACGATTTAGTCCTTGTATTTTTAAATTTGTTACAATTTGGTCCTTAAACTATAGTACGTTAACAATTTAGTCTCAGTAGTTTTAAATTTGTAACGATTTAGTCTCAATCATGTTTTTTTTAATTCTTATACATTTAGATTGATAAATCGATAAAGGATCAAATGTGTTTATAAATTACACAGACTAAATCGTTATAAGATAAAATTCGATACTTAATTTTCACAATAAGGACTAAATTGTTATCAATTTAAAAGTACAAAAATAGTTTTTTAAAAAAAAAATTAAAGTACAAAAACTAAATTGTTACAAATTAAAGTTTATGGATTAAATCGTAACTTTAACAAAAGTATAGGGACCAAATGTATTTTTTAACCCAATTGAAATTTTAGAGTAAAATTATTAAGTTATAAATTTAATCCTTGAATATTTAAGATTTTGTCCAATAGGTTATTCAACTCTAAAAAATATAGGATAGATCTCTAAACTTTCACGTTTCAATTTTGTTGAACCTTTACTTTAATTTTGTACTGATACACAATTGAAAAAAAAATTATGTCCCTATTAGACATAAAATAAAAAAATTTTAATTATTTTTTGGACTATTTAGGACATATCAAACACAAAATTGAAAGTTAGAAATCTATTAAGTACGGTTTAAAGTCAACAACTTACATGTTCGTAAAAGTTCAGGAACTAAATTTGTAGTTTAATCGAATAAAAATTGACATATATTACTAAAATCAAGACAAAAATGATCAACAATGCCAAGGTGTTCAAATTTTCGTTGGCATGTCAACATTTACATTGACATTTCAATGAGTTCTATATCGACATAAAAGATGGATCGGTGCAAAAAAAAAAAAAAATCAATAAAATATCATTGGTATTAATAAATTTTAACTTATTTAGAAAGAGTGAAATGTTTATTTGTACTTTAAATATTTATTTTAAATTTTATTTTTCTTTTCATATTTTTTTCAAAAATATTTATAGATACTGATATTTTTGTTTAATACAACATGTGTAGATGAAGATTTAAATAAATATATGTTTTAATTAGTTGAGTTAAAACCTTTTTTAATATTTCTATCGACATTTTTATAAAATCAAAGACATGAAAAATTTGACCCAGTGGTAAGAAACCTTAGTAGAGAAGTCTGAGGTGATTTTTCAACTGCTACGTTAAAACTATATGCTGGTCAGAGTCTTGCTCTTCGGTAATAAATCTCGGTTTAAGCCACAGAATCGATTCGGGAAAAAAAAAAAAAAAACGCATTTCCATCACATTTAAAAATTAGAATTTAGCAAAGCCCAATTCGTCGCCACGTCTTTTTGGCGGCACTTTCTCTCCACTACTCTCTCTTCTGTACTCCATTTCTCCGCTAAAACAAACGTCTCTTCTCTCTCTCTCTCTCTCTCTCTCTCTCTCTCTCTCTCTCTGCATCTTCCCATTCGCAACGAACCAAAGCACGTTCACTCCATCTTCCACACCTCTCAATTTTCCGTTTCCTTTCTCCATAAATCCGCGCTTCCTGTCTCTCTCTCTATCCCTTCGCCTTCGCCTTCGCCGGACGGAGTTTTCCGATGGGCGCTTCTCTCAACGACGAACTCTCCCTCGCTCCGGTTCACGACTTCAACTCCTCCTTCCAAGACCTCCGCTGCTTCAAGCACGTCCATGACAACGTCCACGGCAACATTTACCTCGATCCGGTAACCTCTTCTTCACTCACCAATGCTCGATTTTGAGCCGTAATCTGGATAATTTTCTGGTGTTTTTCTCTCTTTAATGGCTGCCTGATGGATTCGGTTCTGGTTTTGGTTTTTGTTGTGCAAATGTTGCGGTGCCTTCGACTACTCGGATTTGGAATTTGATTTTCTGAGTTTCTTCCTGTGCTTGCAGCTCTCTCTGAAGTTTATTGATACCGAGCAGTTTCAGAGGTGAGTTAGTGCTGGAGATATTTCTTTGCCTCTATATTTCGATTTAATGTATCTAGTTGGAAGAAAATAAGATACGGCTTGGTTAGTGGTTCTGAAGATACTGTTTATGAGTTGTAGTCTGATTTATTTGATTCATTCCCGTATTGCAGGCTTCGTGAATTGAAACAGCTTGGTGAGTTCTCGTCCTCGATTATTTATTGTCGTGAATGATGTATCTGGTATCCGTACTTGTTTATCCAGGAATTTAAGTTCGCTATGTATTTAGGAAATTTGTATATGGTACTGTCGGTTAATGAAGCATGGCTACCTGTTTTAAACTAGGAATCTGAATGCGTTTAGCGTTGAGTCAAATATTTTTTAGAGTGCTCCTCATTGTATTGAAGTTGTAGGTTAACAAACAACCATTACTGATGAGGAGCCCATGCTTCACTCGTTTGTTTGGTTTCGATATTATATATTGGCATGTTTATGGTGACTATATTGTGGAAATTTTGTACTTATTCATCGCCACCAGTGAAATACCAAGAAAATTTATATCTCAGTGACATGGTGAGGAATTTTTACCTTAAAGAGCTTATTTTTAAGATTGTTTTAGACTGAAAATTCTTCTCGACAGTGGCACAGTAAGGTCCACCTCAAGTCTGTTTGGCATAAATTGTAGTTATATTCAATGTATACTATTACTTTCATGTGGTTACGATCAAGCTTGTTACATGTTCAGGTGCGTCGCATATGGTATATCCAGGAGCTGTACATTCTAGGTTTGAACACTCGTTAGGGGTGTATTGGCTTGCTGGAGAAGCTATTCAAAAGCTTAAGAATTATCAAGTATACATTACTCTTTTTGATATTATGTTTACTTATGCAATACTTTTTTTTATAAAGCAGTTTTGAAGACAATTTCTTGTTGATTTGATGTCTTTAATCTTGTAGGGAGCAGAGCTTGATATTGACCACTGTGATATCCAAACAGTGAAGCTTGCTGGTAGTTTTTCTGTCTCACGTACTTTTTCTAATTTATTCAACTTCTCGTGTGTGATATCTGTTGGTATTTTACACCTTTGTTAATTTGTACTTCTAATTTATCTGACTTTTTATGTGTGATGTCTGTTGGTTTATTTATTACTTCTTTGTTAATTTGTAGGCCTTCTGCATGATGTGGGCCATGGGCCTTTTAGTCACCTGTTTGAACGCGAGTTCATCCCCCAGGTTTTCAGTGACTATGAATGGTACTTAGCAACTTTATTATGGATCACCTGTGGTTCTGAATCTGTATTTTTCTTGGGAAGAATTACATGCCTGAATAGTGTTTTATTTACTTAGTTATGCAGAAGTTATATTTGTTTTTCATGTATTTGATTGTTTTATTTTTTTATTTTTTCCATTATAGGTCCCATGAACTTATGTCAGTTAAGATGGTTGACTATATGGTTGATGAGCACCACATTGATATTGATTCTGGAATGATAAAAAGAGTTAAGGTAAACTGATGTCGTACCAACTATTCTGTACTTCTTTCTCTGAGTCAATGCTTATCATTCTTACATTGGCTACTAAAATAATTTAAAAAAATATGAACAGAAAATATTGGTCAACCGTTAAGATGCCTTATACGTTCAGACCTCACCAGTTAATGATTTAAAGTTTAATGTTGGTGGTTCTTATTGACTTTGCCAGGAGATGATACTATCTAGTTCTGAATTTACTCGGCCAAAGGTAGGAATTTTGTTTTTATTCTTTTGGGAATTAATTGCTGGGAGAAAAAGATCGGATAAATTGGAGGGGATTGGGAATGAATTTTATGGTTTGTACCTACTTTTTATGTGATAAATAGGGTTCAAGGGCGAAGGGTTTCCTGTACGACATTGTTGCAAATGGAAGAAATGGAATTGATGTGGACAAGTAATTGGTTATTGATGTTTCGAAATTATTCATTCAAAATTGATTACACGAGTCTGCCAGTTGAAACATTATAATTACTTACTTTAGGTTTGATTATATTGTTCGTGATTGTCGAGCTTGTGGTCTAGGATGCAATTTTCAGTTTCAGAGGTATAGTTGAAATTATATCAATATATTTTTCCTGGGGGGGAGTTGGCGTGAAGGTGGGTTCCCTAAAAGTTGTCTGTGCTTTACATGCAGGTTGATGGAGACTATGCGGGTTATTGATGATGAAATTTGCTATAAGGCTAAGGACTGTCAGTATCATCAGCAATATCTGTTTCTTTGAAGTACTTTTTGCCTTTAAATTTGTAGTTTATGAGTTGTAATTTTCTAGATCTTACTGTTCACAAGTTGTTTGCTACTCGGGCTGATTTGTATCGAACAGTCTATATGCATCCAAAAGTTAAGGTACGTACGGTGAGAATACTTCACTCACATTAGTTATTTGTCTATACGCTAAATACTCCCTCCCTTGCCAAAATTTATCCTCTTTTTTCAATCCTACCCCTATTTTTTATTATTATTTTTTAAGAATTCGTTTACTTATTAGAAATAGTTTGTTTTAGGAACTAGAAATAGAATTAAAGTCTGAGAAGACAATAAATTAAATTTCTTCTGCTTTTGGCTTGTGCAGGCCATTGAGCTTATGCTAGTTGATGCTCTGTTGAAGGCAAATGATTACCTTGAAATTTCATCCCACATCCATGATCCATCCCAGTACTGGAAGGTTTGAAATGCCATTTACCAGAATTCTCTTGCTCGTGTGATTGTTTTTCTATGTTAATTGCTTACCGTGTTTCTCCTATTGTTTAAAATGCAGTTAGATGATACTATAGTTAAAACAATCGAGACAGCTCCAGACCAAGAACTAAAAGAATCGAGAGATTTGATTTTGCGTATCCGAAGAAGAAATCTCTACCAGGTTTTGTCATTTTTTTTTTTCTTCACTGTGCCTTTTCTCTTCTATGTTGTGGAGTTTGGATTTATGTAAATGTGTACAATGTTAAGCTTACAGTGGTGAACTTTTCTGCATTTCCAGTTTTGTAATGAATATGCCGTCCCAAAAGACAAACTGGAAAATTTCAAGGATGTAACTGCCAAAGATATTGTTTGTTCTCAGGTTTGTAAACCTTTTATGCATACATGCTTGATATAGGGTAACAAAGTTTAGTCTGAATTTTAATATTGTCCGTGACATTGTTGTTTAGAAAAATGGTGGAGTGCTGCTGCAAGAGGAGGATGTTGCTGTCAGCAATGTTAGGATTGACTTGACACGTGGTAGAAATAATCCTCTTGACAGGTTGTTGAGAAAGTTTAGTTCCATCTTTTTGGAGTCATCCTGATGCGGTCGTTGTGATAATTTGTTTGTTGCTAACTTGATCTCTCTTTTTCTGCCTGTTGAATTCGATCTCCAGGATATATTTTTTCAAGGTACATTTCTTCACTCATTGGCCATTTGAACCTTGGTACTGTCCAATTAGATCTTCTGAGTGCTTACAAACTTTTTGTTATGTGAATCTTTGTCATTATTCAACCATGCAATTTTATATTTGAGGTGACATGACATGTCACCTTTGATACAGTCAATCATAAACCTTGTTGATTAGGGATTATGTTCACGAGTGTCATGGCCACGGTTTGGCCAACATGAATATAGCTTAGTGGTAAATAACATTTACTCGTTTCTTTGAGGTCGGAAGTTTAAATCTCAATACCTCACGTTTGTTGTATTAAAAAAATGGCAATAGTTGACCACAACCTATTTAAGTACATGCCAAAATTTCACTGATTATGATACCTCCACTTTTCTGTGGAACTCAACATTTTCCTCAGTTAAATTAAGAGGTTGAAATAAAAGATGTGAAGTAGCTATTTTGTTGAGGCACAAGTTTCACTTATAACAATTTCTTGGCATATGAGTACGGGACTTGTATATGGAAATGGTGTCAGTTGATCAATCTAATAATAGTTAGAACTTTGATCCTCTCTCTTGTAATAAAAATTTCCCTTATTTTGATAATTTATAGAGGAAAATTCCCTTTACCTTCTCTTTTGATAATTTTTTCCATACATTTTCCCCTGCCATTTTTGGAACATTTTCAACGTTGTGTCTAACATTCTTTGTCAACAATTTTGCGATATTAGATAAAAGTGACACTAACCTGCATTTAATATTTCAAACATCTAGTCAAGTTGAAATGTTGCTTGAAATTGGATTCCTTGGTTGGAAGGAACACAAAGTAACTTGATAAAGGGAATCATTGGTGAATGGTGATTACTACAGGGTCCACTTTTGGAATGTCAGTAAAAACTTTAATGACAACCTAGATTTAATTCCTACGAGTACAAATATCGTATATCTTATTTTTCGTTCTGAAAAATCTGTTTCTTCATATAGAATAAAAGATAAAATTCTGTTTGGCAGGATTTTTGTTTTGCCATCAAGTTTCTTTGCAGTATTATAACAAATTCGGTTTTGTACAGGATTATGAAAGCGACGAGAAATTCAAGATCTCTGATGATCGCATAAGCCATTTACTGCCAACATCATATCAAGATATGATAGTAAGGGTGTACTCCAAGAAACCTGAACTGGTCTGTATACTTTGATGCAAATTGGTGATCATGTTTTTGTTTCTGTGCCCAAACTCCAATACCTTTCCATGTAATTTACAGGTAGAAGCCATCTCAGAAGCATTTGAAAACTTTCAGTTGAAAATGTATGGGATTAAAACACAAGTTCATGCAACACCGGAGAAGAAGAAACGTCGCATTTGATATCACTTGTCAGGATTTCTTATATTCTTTCGCAAAATAAGACTACTACTACTATAACATCACACAGACTTACGATTATATAGGTTCGTGATTTTGACATTTCCTCCTAGAAACTAGATTCATGAGGAATTGTACATGATATCCCTTACTGATTTGGAGCTGGTTTAGCTGGAGGATCCTGCCACGAAAAAGTTTTTGGTCAGCTAGTTTTTTTGTCAACCTTTTGGGACAAATGCTGAAGATCTTGAGTCTGCGGAATACCCAATCTCGCCCGGCAGCTTTTAGTTTGCGAATGGTTATCTTTGACAAGTTTTTATTTGCATACTTGTCTTGTTGAATTCAGTATTGTACATCTTACTATACTCTGACTTGTTTGTAATGTCACATACGTTCCTATATAAAGTCATGTCAATATAGAACAATATTAGCCTTATACACAATGATTTGGAATTGTCAACTTTGAAGTTTGAACAATATTAGTACTTGGGCTTTGTGACACCTCTCGAACTTTTTTGGACAGAGTTCAACTGTTACAGGGTGGAGATCAAACCATAGACCTTTCAGATGGGAAATATGCTCGAAAGACTTATTCAGAAAATGCAGGCGTTCTAATATTTATTGGTAGGTAGAAAATGCATCATTTCTTCTTCTCTAAGAGACATCGTTTTCTACATTTTACAAAATCTACAACAGTAGTCTTTCCACAGGTAAAAAAAGTTCCATGACATACGGTATGTTGCGAAAAAATCGGGTTACATCTTACATGTTGATATAATCTGATTGTGCTGCCATTTGTATTGTTGTGTTGTAATTGTAAAGACTAAGGTCTAAGAGTTTTGGAGAAGTTGCAGGTTTGTGGAAAAGGGTGAATCTGGATGCATGGGAAATTCACGAGGCACCTCAAATCTGAGCCATCCACAGAAAAGAAAACAGGTACCTCACTCTTAAGCCCCGTGACTCTACCCTCCCCTTTAATCTCTTCTCTTTCAGTGCTCCCTTGAAGTCAAAAAGCTTAGGCTTCACGGGTCTTTTCCTTCTTTTACTGCATTGAACATTTCTTAATTTGCTCATTCCCTTATTTACCCAATAGTTTTTGGTGCAGTAAATAGTAACCTTTTTATTACTTTTCCACTTCAATGTTTTGTCCTCTCTGGTACTCGTTATATGGTAACTATATTTAAGGTTAAAATAATTTAAATATAATTTTGGTTTTGTACTTTTTGCCTTCGTTTATTTTAATCAGCGTACTTAACTATGGTTCATTTTAGTTTTTTTACTTTCAAATGTTCATTTTGATTTTTGTACTTTTAAAATGTGACAATTTTGGTACTTATTTGCAAAATTTTAACACAAATTTTATATAAAAATTACTATGGTTCATTTTGGTACGTACTTAAACTATGGTTCATTGTGATAGAAAGGAGGAAGGTAAAAATGAAAAATGAAGGGAGAAAAATTGTTACTTTTTTAAAAGTATAGAAATCGAAATATTCATTTTGAAAAGTAACCAAAATGAATCAAAACTAAAAATGCACAAGTGTAATGGAATTTGTGAGGTGAATATGTAAAATTGATCAGGTAAAAATTACTAAACATTGTTTGTTTACCATTGGAAAGTTTGCAAAACTATTTGAGAGAGATTTATAAAGCTAAGTTTAATTGAAGGTTAAATTATAGGTTGTAGTGCGTGAACTAATAATTGATGATATGTCATGAAGCCGTACAAGGGAGTGAACCAATAGGATAAAAATAAGGTTAGGGTTAGGTCGATCAAAAAATCGAGGGAATAAGCAAGAAAAATACATTTTAAATTGGATATTTGATCTGTCTATCCTTGGATTTATTCTATTAGCCTATTTCTTTATGCACGTCATACTTAATCATTACTAATTAATTACTAAGTAGTTTAATCAACATTTTAAGTAGTAGTATTATTAACAACTTATTAGAATTAAAATTATTTTTTAAAGTTCAAATAATTATCAAAGTTGGAAGAATATTAAATTGGTAAGTTGAGCATCATGGATACTTGGAACTTTAGTGGGGTGTGAGTTAGAGAGAGGGAAAGCAGCAAAACTATTTTAGAATTTTAGAATAAACGGTAGAAAGATACCTGGTTAAAAGATGCTTTTAGTTCCTACTTTCATCAGTCCCTGAACATTTTGTAACGTTTTAGTTTTTGTATTTCTAAGTTGGTAACAATTTAATTTCTGAATTTTAGTAGGTAATAAATTAGTGCTAGTAGTTTAAAATTTGTAACAATTTAGTCCATACAGTGGAATTTTTTTTATCGAAATTCAATGTTGAATTTTATTAGACAATAACAATTTGGGGTTTTGTAGTTTGTAAACACATTTGGTCTTTCATCATTTCATCAATTCACATTTATAAGAAACCTCATTGAATCTAAACAACATTATCTACAATAGATACTAAATCGTTACAAATTTTAAACTAATTGTAACACATAAAATTCAAAAACTAAATTGTTACAAATTAAAGTTCATGGACTAGTCGTTATCCCAACGAAAGTATAGAGAAAAAAAAAGTAATTTTTAACCAAGATATATATATTTTTTATTTAATTTTTTAAGGAGAGAGAGAAGCAAATTTAATAGAGGCTACAGTGAAATGTGCAGATTCTAAGTTTATATTATATAGTGAAGAGCATCATATTGCTCACCACTGGAATAGCATCTTATTCATTGTTTATAAATTTGGTCACTTTTAAATTTTTTTGACTGAAAATTCAGAGGTCACTTTTGCAATTGTCTGCCTTCACATCAATAACATTCTTTGTTCGTTTTCTAAAAGGGTATTAAGAATACTATTTTTCGTTTTAAAATATGTTATAATATTTCTCCTTTTCATTCTTTTTGGAGGCTAAGTGGGGATCTGTCTCGCCACAAACATTGGAGCACATTTAATTACATAAGCAATATATTCTTCAATCATAAATGGAAAATAATTGACAACATCCCACATATACACCATAAATGTCAGGTGTGTATTGATTGTTTGTCTACCTAACTGAAATTCATATCCTTGTGTTCGTGTTCGTGTTCGTGTTCGTGTTCCTGCAACATTTTTAATAGGTCTTTTTCTTATTTTTTACCTTGAAATTGAACTTTTTTCCTTGTAATATGTATTTAAGAAATATTTATAGCTAAGATTTTACACCTTTCAAAGTCTGTATTTAAGAAATATTTTTCTCAATTTAACATGTTAGGACTAAAAATACTTGACATCAGAGGTTGAAGAAATTGAATTTTATGTTTAGTATTTTAGGTTCAAACTATGATGACTACTTATTTAGAATTTAATATCTTATGAGCTTATAGATATAGATATCAAAATAGAAAAAAGAGAGCATATCATAATTTATAATTTTGCATCTTCTATCTCTAGTTTTCTTTTTTCTTTTTTAGGTTATAAGGTCAATATCATTCATTAAATTGAACTTGCCACTTGGGGTATAATTAAAAGTCTATCATCCAGTGTAATGGTTTATCACCAACCAAGGAGTGGAGTCATCTAAGAAAAAACTAAGGTGCAAATAGAGAGGGGCTTTTTCAGTCCAAAGATTTGCTATTTTGTTGAACTTCTATCAAACATGCAGAAAGCGAATTAAAATGAAAGAGAGTTAATTGAAGGATGTAAAAGACCTAATCACATTGGTCCCCCAAAAGTTGTTTGTATGTTTGCAAGATAATGAATTGCAATAAAGATACAACTTCAAGGTGAGTCCAATTGATACTTTTTTCGAAGCGGACCCCTAATAACTGCCAACAATTCAACTTACAAAGGGGTATATAGTTTGTGAATAATTCGGTTTGTCTAGGGTATTGCAACTATTGCGATAGGACGATGTCTAGACTAGTCGAATCCTTTCAATTGTAACATGTGGCATATGTATTTAGTGTCTCCAACTTTGGAGGTGGAACAGAGTCGAATGAAGTTGTTGCCATATTTCACTGAAATCACATTTATATTATAGAACTTTGTGCTGTGAGATTGAAGAATCCAATGAAAATTTTCTTGGATTTCAAGTGTTTTATTTTAGATTTTAGGTGTTTTATTTATGTGGTGTAGGTCTTGATCGTTCCATAACGCTCAATTTATAATTGTAGCTAAATTTAAGTCCTTAGAGAAGAAATAGGTCTTGGGTGGACCAAAAAAAGATCATCATTTCATACTGTCTTCACAAATTGACATCCAAATAAAACGTGAGTGGTGATCTCTTGATCTCCACCAAGAATCTTTAGGAATTGATTTATAAAAGTTGTGTATTCTAAAAACAGTTACTTTGGGGTAATAATTAACTAAAGGAAAATTTCATTTGTTTTGAAAGATGAAATTTAAAAGAGGAATGAAATTACTAAAGATGATTTTCGTAGGTCCCATCAATAAATTTCATCCCTATATTATTTCTTGATTTCTACTCCCTCGAATTAAACTTATACAATTATTTCTTTCAAGTTACCACGAATTGAAAAACTGATGTTTTTTTTTTTAAAAGATGAAAAAAATGACGTTGAGATATTCTTAAATTTAAACTTTAATTAAGATTTTTACAGCTCATTCTCGTACACAAACCCCATAATTAATTAAGTCAAACAAATCCTTAATTAATTATTGCTCCCTCCCGCGTAAATCTACACAGCAAAATTAAAATAATGCATCATCTTCAGTTCATAACTTCCACTTTAACTGTTTTTGCAGGTGCATGTGCCCCTGAAAACGGAAAAAGAAAAATTAATCACATACATTTATATAAATAATATTTTCAACAGGACATACATTTAAATAATATAATATTCAAAAATATAAATTTTTAATGCATGATTTTTTACTTATTTTAGTTTATATTTATTCCCTATTTACTAAAGAGTTTTGGGTTTAATTTTCATTTATTTTTACCCATAAATTTGTGTTAACGTTCACTCTTTGGTCCCTCACGTAACATAACCATTGGTAAGGAAATGTGAAAATCTATTTCTCTCCACTCTATTCTCCCCATTCTCTTTCGCTTCTACCAAATCCGGTGGTCGAAAGAGGTGGTAGAGGACCGAACGGTGGTGATCGACGATAGTATAGAAGGAAAAGCGGAAAGATGGATGTGGGGTGAGGAGGAGGACGGTCGGTTAGAGGAGAGAAAATGGTAAGGACGGGAGAAATTTTTTAATACTTTTTACTACATCACCTATTGAAATATTATAAAAATAAATACTTTTACCATGCAAGCATTAAATAATATAAATTAATATTAAACGATCCTAATTCTATGCAACATTTTAAAATTCAGCGAGCATGAGTGAAAAACATAGGGATAAAAGTTTAACATTTTAAATCCTAAATACCAAATAGAAATTAAATTCAAAATTAAAATGTAAAAGTCCAATATTTTAAATTTTAGAAACCAAATGGAAATTAAACTCAAAATTCAACGGTAAAAGTGTAACATTTTAAAACTCAACAACAAAATAGAAGCCAACATGAACTTAATTTAAACCAACACGAACATAACTCAACAGCTAAGGTATCTTATTCATTTCTTTGAGATCAAAAGTTCAATTCTAAACCCGTTGTACTAAAAAAAATATGAGCGCATCTTGCCCCTTCGGTAGAAGTCGGAATTTCAGTCCAATTGAAAGAATAGGACTTTCATCCAAAGAAATGAATAGTCAAATGGAAGAAAGTGGAAGTGAGAGTGAGAGTTTGAAATAGTGTTTTCGTGAGGGAGGAAAAAACCGATGTGGGTCAAAAACAGACGTCGTGTTCAGCCAAAATCCATGCGCCCACATGGATGATCGAGAGAGGAAACACACAGTAGAAGAAGTAGAACTACAACTACAACTACAATCCACCACTCCTCTCTCTCTCTCTCTCTCTCTTCTTTCTCTCTCTCTCTTCTACACCCTCAAATACACACAAAACCCATCATTCCACTACCCAAAAGAGGAACCACCCCTCTGCGCCCGCCCTCGATTTTTAATTTGTCCAATTGATTTCTAGAGACTGAAATATGAAAGAGAAGAGTGAAACCGGAGGTGGGTATGTGAGGGCGGATCAGATAGATCTGAAGAGCTTAGACGAGCAGTTGCAGAGACATTTGAGCAAGGCATGGACCATGGAGAAGAACAAGAGGAGGGAGGACGAGGAGGGAGGCGGCGGCGGCGGCGGAGGAGGACGAGGAGGAGGAGGAGGAGGCGGAAGGCCGGCGATCACGAGGCAGGAGTGGGAGATTGACCCTTCTAAACTCATCATCAAGAGCGTTATAGCTCGGGGCACTTTTGGAACTGTTCATCGCGGGATTTATGACGGCCAAGACGTTGCCGGTATGCCCCATTTCCCCAAATTCGTAGTATGTTATTGTTTTTTCTTTTCTGGGAAAATCTGTTCCTAAGTGCATGGTTGAAGAACGCTCAATCGGTTCTGTTTTCTCTGGTTTTTGTTATTTCATTGATTGTGGGTTCTCTTATTATCCGCATCTGGTGAATTTGGGTGTTCCTTGTTCACGGCGGAAGATCAGTTTATGATTAGCGTATCGTTATTTGCTCAAAAATGAAATGGGGTTTTTGAGTTTTTTGCTGGGTTCTGCTTGAATAGCTGAGGAATTGATAGGATTTGCCTTAATCATGTTTGAAATTATGACAAAATGAGAATCAGCTCTGTTCTTCTACATCCATTGTTTTAGAAATGGCAGAGTTCTGCTTAACTTTTTTTTCTTTTTTTCTTTCTTTCTTCTTTTTGGAGATATTGTCCTCAACAAAACCGTGATTCACGAGATTGGCTTGAGCCGACAGTTACTTGCATTAACTACTGCTCTGTTCTTTTTTTACAACTTTTGTGTGTCCCTATTAATTGTTCATGCACCCTTTTTCAAAAACACAGTTACTCATAAAATTGAAATAAAAACAACAAATTAATTTGAATTTGAATCGGAGTCCCTTCTTGCATAGTTAGCCTCCGGACTCCGTTTGCGGGCTGTCTTTCTGTATGCTCGTCTGTTGTCTTTGTTCTCCTTCATCTTTCTCGATGAAAACTTGGTTTATTATAAAAACAAAATAAAAACAACAAAAGTCATCTCAATCTTTAGGTTTCCAAAATTAGAAATCGTTTAAGCTTTGTTTTAGTGTTGATTTTTGCCTTATTCTTGATGAACTTTGGGGCATCTGTTTCAATAATGCGTTAGAAGTCTAAATGTTCATTAATTTTTCCCTCAGTTAAACTTCTTGACTGGGGGGAGGAGGGTCATAGGTCAGAGGCGGAAATCGCTTCTCTTAGAGCAGCTTTTACGCAAGAAGTTGCTGTCTGGCACAAGCTTGACCATCCTAATGTTACAAAGGTAAAATTTTATGGCGTTCTTCCTAACTTCCTTGTTTTGTTTAGAATTGGCTTTTGACGTGACCGTTTATAGTTTTAAATGGATGAAGGTTTAGAGGATTGTTACCTCTTTTTTGGTCATTAATGAATATACTAATTAATTATGAATGCTTCCCCTGTAAAGTTACCAAGTTCTCCTTGGATTAACACTTCTACTTATAGGTATGAAACTTGTCAAATTTTTTTATCATGTTGATGTTGCCTTTTATTCTATAATTACTATTGAGATCATACATCTGGTGTTTTCTGTATTGTGTCAACAACTGATTCCATCTTTCATATTTGCAAAGGACAAAAAAGTATGTAGTAGTAGACTATAGTAATAGTGATATTTGCGTTATTGGTGTCGAGTCTTTAAACTAGGTGTCTAAAACTGCAATGAGACAGTCCCCAAGGGATAGCTTGAGTGGCTTGGGGCCTTAAAGAATAACCTTGAGATCTTGGTACGCAACTTCCACCAAGTGATGGAGTATGTAGGTCGCCAACTCCTAGGTAGTAAAAAAAAAACTGCAATGAGACAAGCTACTGGCTGAATTTCTGATATTACTGTAATTGCACTATTCGGTGTTTGGAATAAAAAAGTATCATATTTGGACTGTCCCCTAATAGCCATTGGATGAAAATTCGAAAGTCTTCATGCTCTTAATAACCACTAGATATAGATTCGAGTTACTTTTGTGGTTTCTCTCTGCTAACCACATTAACTTTTGCAGTTTATAGGAGCAACAATAGGCTCCTCAGATCTACATATACAAACGGAAAATGGCCAAATTGGCATGCCGAGCAATATTTGTTGTGTCGTCGTGGAATATTGTCCTGGAGGTGCTCTGAAAACGTACCTTATAAAGAATCGGAGGAAAAAGCTGGCATTCAAAGTAGTCGTACAGCTAGCATTAGACCTTGCGAGAGGGTTAAACTCGAATCCTGAATCTCTAGTTTTTTGTTCACTCCCAGAACTCTGAATTCTGCAACTTTTTGTACATTAGACTTGTGCTTTCTTAAACTCAAGGGGAGCTACCATTTGTAGGTTGAGCTATCTTCATTCGCAGAAGATTGTTCACAGAGATGTCAAAACCGAAAATATGCTTCTTGACAAAACGAGAACAGTTAAAATTGCAGACTTTGGTGTTGCTCGTGTTGAGGCCTCAAACCCCAACGATATGACTGGCGAGACCGGAACCCTTGGTTATATGGCTCCAGAGGTATATGCTTGAATCGCCTTCTTCAATTCTGTGCTTCTCTCTGGCCTCCGTAGTTGCTTAACTTTGATCTCAATGCAAAAATTGCTTTTTTTAATCGGAAAACATATTCCATTGTAAAATTTGGGATAGATAAGTTACTGTGCGTTGTGCGTGGAGTTCGCTGAGCAACTTTCCTGGCCCAGAAACTTGTTACGCCTTGTACAAGCCCCAATTCTATCAATATTTTCCTGTTTCTTGAGATTTAGTCCTTCATTATGACTGCTGTTTAGTTTGTTTACTTGGTTAATATTATTAACCAGTTGGCCTTTTGCTTCTGCAATCCTTCAGACCTGACTTCAAGATGACTTGGAAATTTGACAGGTTCTCAATGGCAATCCATATAATAGGAAATGTGATGTCTACAGCTTTGGCATCTGTTTGTGGGAAATATACTGCTGCGATATGCCGTATCCCGACCTTAGCTTCTCAGAAGTGACATCAGCTGTTGTCCGACAGGTAGGTCGAACGGATATATCAGATATCTTTAGTTTCGTGAAATTGTGAATGAATTTCATCCATATCATAGCAATAGCAATAATATCTAATTCTGAGTAGACAATGTACCTAACTTTAGTATAAGCTGAAGATGAAAGACCATCTTCTCTAACTGCAGAATCTGAGACCAGAGATACCTCGGTGTTGCCCGAGCTCGCTTGCAAATGTAATGAAGCGATGTTGGGACGCTAACCCGGACAAGCGTCCTGAGATGGACGAGGTGGTAACCATGTTGGAAGCGATTGACACATCGAAGGGCGGAGGCATGATCCCCCTCGATCAGTCTCAAGGCTGTTTTTGCTTCCGCAGGTACCGGGGGCCTTGAACATGGTGTTTGACTTCTTCTTCGAGCAAACCAATGGCACGGCGGCAGCAACAACAATGACGCAGTATCGAAGATATTGAAATTGTAATTTGGTACAATTGAAAAAGGAATTGGAAGTTGAGAGTGAAGGGAATAAGTAGAGTGAAGGTTATAGGTTTAAGAGGAGCTGTGCAATATGTGTGGTGGTAGTGTGGATTTTGTAACCTTCCCTCTCCTTGTGAAGAAAAAAAATGAGTAAATTTTCCATGGAAGATAAGAGCTTTAATGAATGTTCTTCTGTTAACTTGGATTGAACATTTACAAAGCACCATTACTAAGAAGATTTGGGCAGCACTTCCCTTCAAAGGGTGGTCTTATAATCAATATATATATTTAGGGGTGAAAAAACCTTGGGTCGGGTCGGGTCGGTTTCGGGCTCTCTTAACTTTTTTTTCAGCCCTTTGGGTTGAGAAAAAAGTTTAAAAATAATGCCAGATCATATTCGATAAGATTCTAAATATTTTTGAGCAAAACAAACATTTCAATATTGAGATTTAAATTATTACAAAAGATACAAAGTCTTTTTGATTCATCACTTGCTGAATTCCTAATTTCTATCATGCCTTCAATTCTATTCTTAGACTTCAAAACTCTACCAAGAAACTAGAATTATTACTTAATATTTAGCATAAAATAAAATTTATATAAATGCAAAAATCTCTCTTTCGCCTCTTCTCCATGTCTCCATTCTGATTGATTCGCTTCTTCTTTCGCGCAAGCGCTTGATTTGCCCCTTGTTGTGTTGCATTTTGTGATCCTCCGCTTCAGTCTGCCTTTTTCGTCTCACCGCGATCTGACTTGGATTTCCAATTGAAATGTTAGCTCCAGGTTTTGGGCGGCCCATCTTCGGCTGCGTACTCCTCGTCTGCGTATCTCACACTCCCAAAGCATCTTTTTTCTTTCATATTTCATTTTCCTTTCCTGTATTTTTCTTTCGATTCGAGATATAGGTCGGCTTCGTGCATCTCTATGTTTCCCGGGGGTGCTCCTCAGGTATGCCCTTCCGGTGGGTTGTTCTCTTTAGATGAATTTTTAAAAGTTATGAATAGCTCAAAATATCACCAAATTGCTTCCTCATTAAGTTTGATAATATTTTTATGTAAAAATCATTATCTTGCCGCCCACTATTTCAACAACCCCTAGAGGGAGAATTAAGTGTGAGAAAAATAAGGACCTATTTGACACAATTTTGTTGGGTTGCTAACAATAGCAATAACCTCAAGATCATGCATTTCACATTATTAGAACCAAGAACATAAATGAAGAATGATCAAACCTGAATCCAATCACATTTTCGGTAACCAGAATTCAAAAAACTCTATGGAAATATGAGAACTGAAATATGTTTGGACTATTAGAGACCATATCCCTTGTATCCTCTCTTCCCTAGACCTCAATTAAACCCAGTAAGAGTAAATAAGTATCTACCTAAATAGTCCAATAATAATTATATTAATATGTGTTCCACGATTTATTATTAGAATATACAAATATTCTAACAATTTCAGATACTATTTAAACTTTAAGAATCTAGATATAAAATTAAACATTTTAGGATTTGTTAACTTTTTTTTTTTTTTTTTGAAATTTGCATAGGCCAAATCAACTAAATGGCTATAAAAAATTCAAAACTATCTATATATATATATATCTGATCGAAAGGACTAATCAGATGAAAATAATCAAGTTTGGCTAATTTTTTATTTTAAATGTTATGAAACTAAACAAGTAAATAATTAAACTAACTGCTGTTTAAATTAGAATTTCGTAAAATTACGTGTGTTATTAAAATCGATAAAATTACAAAAATCAAAGTAGTTTGGTCCAAGATGATCACAGAATGAATATATAGTTTTTCCTTTTGAAAGTCATATATAATTACTATATTAAAAAATAATCACCAATGTTTCTTATTTTTATTTTTATTTATTATTTATTATTTTATTATTATTATTTTTTTTTTTTGCAAAAGAATTACCAATGATCTGATCCTAATCACTGTGGAGGGTTCTCTTTCTCCCTCACCCTCTCTCTCTCTCTTCTTTTACATATTTATTTTTATATTTTGGTCTTTATATGGTAACTTTTGTTCATTTTAATCTATTTACTTTCAAAACATTCATTTTGATCCCTATACTTTAAATAAAAAAGAATAACATATTTATAAAATTTTAATACAAATTTTACACACAATAGAAATTCTTTTACACAAATTTATCGCTACATTTCAATAAATTTGGTAGATAAAGTGTCATGCTAAAGTATGACATCTAAAAAGTAATGGACTAAAACAAACAAAAGTTGAACCAAAATATACGAAGTACATGAACAAAAATAAATCAGAGGCATCAAAAATAGTATTTAAATCTTAATAAAATAAAATAGATAAAAAAATTTGAAAGCACATAATGTAGAAGGCAATCATATAAAGTTAAACTCATTGCACAGAGAGATGCCAGTTTGCTTCATAAATGAAATGATCTAATTTTGGGATACAAAGTTGACTTACAAAACTAAGGCCGAGGAAGGAAAAAAATAAACAGGAGAAAAAGGACTAAGAAAGAACACAAGGCAATGAATTGATTCACAAGGCAATTCAATATTGATACTAAGAAACTTCCTTAGCCAGCAATCTTGTAGCTCGGATTCACCAAGTTATCGAGGCCAGAGACTACCTGTATCGACTCTATAATGTCGCCAACTTTAAGATCTGCCAAAAAGTCCTCATTTTCGGTGACGTAACCGAACACGGCGTACCGACCATCCAATATATTAGCATTACTAGGAGTCAGTTCACTTTCCTTCAGCAGCCAAAAGACCTGACTAGATGCTGAATTGTTATCAAATTCCTGCATTCAGAGTAATGAACATCATAAAATTGGCAGCCCATATTTAGGAGAGCGAGAGAGAGAGGGAGAAAATTATCACCTCTCTAGCCATGGCCATGGTTCCAAATGCATTGAATGGAAGTTTTGTTTGGGCCTTGTATAGACCAAGCTCCTGTTTGAAACACATGATAAACCGATATGTAAAACTGGAGTACAGAATCTAACTTCACAACAAGTTTTTGTTCGGGAATTGAAACCGATCGAGTATGGTTTGACTGCAATTTGTAACGAAATGAATGCCGCGATATTTAATCGATATAGGCGTAGTTGTATATACATGCATAAATATATTGGTCAGAGAGCAAAACATGCATCTTGAAAGAAAAAAGAGGCCTCACTTCCAAAGTTTCTCCATAGAAAGGTGCTTTCTCCCCATCAACCATGATTTCTAATGGTACAGTTCGGGTTTTCTCAGTACTAGGATCAATGAAACCCTCGGCAGGACCTTCTGGATCACCAGTCTGAACGACAAAACCGTCCGCTGCACGAACAGGACAAATATATTAGCCTCGTTGAGTCATGTCATATTATGATATGAAGAAATCAAGATTTGCAGCTGCAACAATAAAAAATCTGTCCACTTGAACACGTTCAAGAGAATATTAGAATCTCTCTCCTTAAGAAACTCACAAAAAAGAAATCGCACCAGAATAATCATATTCGTAAGGTTTAAATCGTAATTTGGTTTCTGTACTTTTAGCTTTTGCCTGTCTTAGTTCCTATATTTTAAGCTTCCCACCCCACTCGTTGAACTCAAAGAAGGATTTGCTATTTTGAAAGCAAAATTTGCCTGATATATACCTCTTTGAATTTCCATGCCATCGTAGAAGTGCCTTTCGACCAAGTCGATGAAATTCCCAGCACTTACGGGAGCGTTATAGCCGTCTAAAACTATGTGGAAAACACACTCATTGATGTTCGGATTATCCTTCACTTTGACCTTCATATCCACGGCTGCTCTCCCCTTCAGTAGAGGCATATTTTTGTATTCTTCAGGCACTTCAAACGGGAAGCCATCGACCATATCCTCTTCAACACTGCAGAAACCGAATGCCCCACGAAGATCTCAGCTGCAGTCAATGACAAGGGTATATATGAGATTATAATTTAACTGACTATTATCTTTTATTACTCCTTCCCTAACCTAATTTCCACATATAAAACCACTGTGCTTTTCTAAATTGTTTGGATTTCAGAACATGGATAGGCTGAAAAGACAGTAAAGATTGAAAGTGATAGGTGCTGGGGTAATTAGAAATATTATTAGAGTATTTAGGTCATATTAATCATTAGTCGACGAGTTTGTTAGCGGGAGTTATTGTAAATAGAGTCAGTGGAAGGAGCGGAAGGGAGACAATTGTTTAGTGAGTTTAGACCTAGGTAAGGATACTCAGGAAAAGAGTTATTGCATTCATTTATCTTATAATCTTTCAGTATTATTCTAGTTATTCGCAGATAGCCCAGTTAGCAAGGGCTCGAGGTCTCTTGGTCATACTGACTTAGAGGTTTCATGTTCGAGTCTTCTGGTGAGCTTAATACCAAAAACCTTTGATGTCTTCCAAGTCCGGGCCTTGAGCCGGGCACGGGTGCCTCTGGCTATAGGGGAGCAAAGCTCCGACTCCCAATTTGAAAAAAAAAAAGTATTATTCTAATTACTTGGGTTCTATCAAAAAGTCTTTCTTAAAGATGCTCCAAGTTCGAGAGCTAGAAATGGAGATTGTTGGGAATCAGGAAATAGTTCAGCTGCATATTGATAGAACTTGAACAACTAAAAATACATTGAAATATAAAAGATAGAGAACACAATGGCTCCAAGTAATTCGAGGTATTTGGACCCTCTCCTCTTGAGATGACTCAAGCCTAGACCACATTGACCAATTGCTTACCTTCGTCCTTTTTCCATCACTCTATTTATAACAAATCTCCACAACCAATTATAATATACCCTTTAACACCCTAATAACATTCCTAATTCTATCCTAATAGCATTTCTATCCCAGAAGGTGCACTGGAACAACATCTCCCCCTTGTTTTTTATTCTAACTAGTTGGGTGGCCTTTTTGTAATCTCCTTACCACGGGGTCTAGATTGGACTCATAATTGACATTCCGGCTTGAACATTTTTACTTTTTAAGTACAGTAGTTTCTTATACAAAATGAAAAAGAAAATCTTGTAACTAATGGTTCTTTGTTTCTTGTTGAAAAATGTATACTCTTAAGTTCAATACAGGATTAATACAGCATGCCCCCTTCTTTTCTGGTAATTGGCAACAAAATTATGCAGTATCAATATCTTTCGACTTTTACGAATATATACTTCTCTTGAATGCCAATGCAGCAGGGTAGAGCTAGAAAATCAAGTTGAAGGGAAAAAGTTTATCGTATAAAGAAAATACTAGCTACTAGTTCATCTAATTCGATATTGTTTCTTTTTTTATCGAAAAAACTTGTGTAAATGTTAGTCATCTCAGGTCTGCTCTAGAAAAATAAAAAGAAGCAATTATCAGGATGAAGAATATGGTGTACTAATAGCATAATACTCACCTGCCTACATAATTAAGAAGCTCCTTTTGTTTTGGTGCAACTGCATCTCTATCTCTGTCCTCCACAATCTTTTGGAGCTCATCCATTCCAGCTTCCAATTTACCGAGAACTTCGCTTCCATGTTCCTTCTTCGATTCTGCCAACCCCGATATAATCAAATCCTTCCCCTGCTTGAGTGTTCGAGATGCCTGCCTCACATTCTACATTGCAGGAAATATATGAATGTTAAAGCATATTTGATAACGTTATTGTTTTTAACACTTGTGCTTATTTATTTGGTATAACTTACCCTCTCCACAGAATCAAGTGCCTTGACTCCAGCAATTTTAAGACTTTCAGAGATGTCTTCAAGTGGTTTTTGAACTTCCCTAATAGCTTTATTGTTAATAGGCAAAGCATATCTCAACAAAGCTCCGGGATCCTTTATTGGCGGACCGGATATCAACACGGACAGGTCGGGAATCACTGGACCAGCAGTCGCATATGCATCTGCAGAGGAGCCTAATGTAGGAACCCCTGTAATTAAACTAAATGCCAAAGCCGTTGAGATTGCAAACTCCTTCAAGCAAAATGGACTGCCGTTCTGATAAACAAAATATAAACTCATTCAACCCCTTTGTCGCCCATTTCTTAATTCATAGGTCAAATTTAATCTGACTCTGAATATTTAATCTCTAAACTTTAAAACGTTCAATTACGTTCCTAAACTTTAAATTGTGATCCTATGCCGTCTTTACCATTAACACCGTTAACTAAATGTGACGTTGCATGTTTATTAGGAAAATGTTGGCTAATTTGGTGTGGTATAATGAACAACAGGTGGGGAGGAAGTAGACCAATTGAATAAAATACAAAGTCACACGAGTACTAGCATACTTCCCTACCAAATACAAAGTCACACGATTACTAGCATACTTCCCTACCCGACCACACTATATTCTTTTTATTTTTATAACTAGGAGTTGGAACTTTGCTCCCCTATACCCAGAGACACCAACGCCCGCCCTAAGGCGTGGACCCAGGAGACATCAAGGATTTTTGGTATTCAAGACCACAGTACCACTATATTTTATCTAACTAGTTTACTTCTTTTTGTCACATTGTCCAAAATCTATCAATTCTTATCAAATAAGCATATTGCATAATCATTTAATTAGAGAAGCCTAAGAATGTATATGAAAATTTTCAAAGTTTGGAGATTAAGAACACACCATCAACAAAGTTAAACGACTAAATTTGTAATTTAATCTAATTCATATGCCTTATAACTTAGAAGCTAAATTCCTCAGTTCTGCAACAAAATATCATAAAAAAGAGGGAAAATCCTATCAGACCACAACATCAATGAAGGTAACCTTTCCATATCATGTTCATTTAGGGTTCCACAGGCTTCAGCATTGGTAGGAGCAAAGTTTTGACGCCATCAAATCGAAATTTACAATTGAAGATCCAAATCTTACCTTCGCATTCTGAAGCTCACATTTAATCCGATTGGAGGAGGAGCATCTGGGGCCAAATGTTTTGGACCAACCGCCATTCCAGAGCTTGGAGGAGCGACAATGGGTGGTGGGTATTGAGGATTTGGAGGTGACTAGAGAGGAACAGAACTTGCAGGAGATAATGGCCGCCATTGAAGTGAACTTAAAAGGTAAAATACAGTCAGTTCGAAAACCCAAATAAGATTGGATTAGGATTGAGAGAAAACAAAAGGAGTGCCTGAAATCGAAGGGATGGGGAAAGGATTGAGAAAAAGAAGAAGAAGATGAAGATAAGGTTTTTGATTGTTTGGTTTGTTATTCACAGATTGTGAAACACGATTGCTCATTGTTCTTGGTGGGGTCTCCTTCGCTCTCCTTTTGGATAAGAAGATTATGGACAGACTTGAAAATTTCACCAACCATCATTCTTATCCTCAATTTTTTAGTTTTCTCCATTATTATTACATTCAATTACAAGTTTACTCGCTTACTTTTAAGATTTATCTCTAAACTTGTGTCGGATCAAATTTCAATGACGATAGAGATGTCTCTTTATCAATAGAAATATTGATAAAATGGCAATAAATATTTCTATAAAGTTAGAGAAATAAACCAATCATAAATATTATTGAAATTAACAAATAAATATTTTTCTATTTATAAATAAGTTAATATTGATACAATGTCGACGAATATTTCTATAAAAGTTAGAGAAATAAAAAATTATAAATATTATTGAAATTAACAAATAAATATTTTTCTATTTATAAATAAGTTAATATTGATACAATATCGACGAATATTTCTATAAAAGTTTGAGAAATAAAAAATTCATAAATATTATTGAAATTAACAAATAAATATTTTTCTATTTATAAATAAGTTAGGAATGATTAATATTAATATTATGTATAATTACTGATATTTTGTTGACATTTTCATATTTTGTCGATTTCTTTTATAGGATAGTGAAAGAAAATTGAACGAGAAAATAAAATATAATTTTCAGAGGAAAAAATAGATTATGAAGAGAAAGAAAAATTATAAAAGATGAAATTCTTGAAATTCTAGAGAGAAAAAATTAGGAAAAATATTAAGAGAGAGAAATGAAATTGGTCTGTTAGAAAAAAAAAATACAAAAATTTAGAGAGAGACTAATAATAATAAATATTCAAAATATGAAAATTTTAGAGGGAGAAAAATAGAGTTTGTAGAGAGAAATTTAGAAATAAAAAAAATTTAGTTTGAGAAATAAATTTTTTAGATATAAATATGAAAAAGAAAAAAAATTAAGTATTAGAATAAAAAAATCAGATTTTGAAAAACAAAAACCTCTCGTTGAAAACTACTTTTTTCTTTTCTTTTCTTTGGAAATTTACATAGAATTTCAAAATGTTTCTGAAAACAAAAAACAAAAATTGAATTGATTATCAAACAATCCTATTTTTAAAAAACTAAAAACCAAAAACCAAAATCAAAAAACAAAATGGTTATCAAACGGATCCTTTAGATTGATTTCAAGTAAGTTTAATTATTAGGGGAAACTTTTCCTCCTTTAGAATTAATGGCACCATGTTTATATGTTTTGCAGCTACTCACTTTTAATGGATATTTAAACTTAAATTTTCAAAGTTTAGTGCGAAAAAAATAAATAACTGCCTCCATTCAATATCATTAAGGGCCAAAGAAAATGAAAATTTTTCATTTCTTACCATTAGTTAGCAATGACTAAAAATGGAAGGTATTTTTTTAAATTCAACAATATGTCAATGAGATTTGAACCTCCAACTTTTTAGTTAACCAATTAAATTAAGTTGGCAAAACAACCATCTATTAAATTGATAGCAATGTAACAAAAATGATAAACCATTTTGTTACTATTCCACTAGTAACACAAAATTGAAAATTGATGGTTGATTAGAATCTTTTAAAGTATAAGAGTAACTAAATAAATACAATATTTAAGGAATTAGTAATCTATTTAAAATAGTCTTATAAAGTATAAAGAATGAACCGTGGAGATCAAAATCACAATAAGGTAAAAAGAATAAATAAAGAAAAAAAAATTTTGGGATCGGAAGAAATTTTGGAGTGTTAATATGAAGTGTTATGGCGCTAATAGAATATGCGTAGCTCACAAGCTGATAGTACATTTATATACTTATAATCTTAAAGATCATATAGGGATAATAGTCGATGTTTATCGATTAAATTTATAATTGAACAACGAGCAAGATAAATATTCGGTTAAATTTTTTAAAACATCTTTAAA